GGACATATAGAGCTCCTGCTATAAGCAAGCACTGTTAAAATTAAAAGATCGGAAACAATCTGAATGCCTGACAGTAGAGGGTAAGGTGAATAAACCGACCGTGGACAACACAGTCCCTTTGCTGTTCCAGACACACCAGCTCAGGTTCGTGCTGGCTTTCAGCAAAGTTTATTCAGCAGCGTCACATTCTTAATCCCATTGGCTCTTCGTAGAACCTTGTGTGGTACGACCACAGGACATCAGTGGTTGGTGATTAGTCCCGTGGTACCCGTGGCTGAGCCGGGACTGTGCTGGCAATCCGGGCAGTGTAGGCTCACCGCAGTGCGTTCATCAGCTTGGGTCATGGAAAACATTCTCCCGAGAATACTGATGCACATAACCAGAGCGTCCGCCGGACCGGCTTCCCTCTGGATTAATCCCTGCCTCGCTTTCCTCTGGCTCCAAAGTTCTCTTACCTTGTTGTGGGGAAGAGAGTCTCCCCAGCTGGCTGATCGTTTGCAGCCGTCTGTTTTGACCACCACGTCTCTCTCTGGCTTTGCATTTCTGGACCTCTGCATATATTGCAGTGTGTCCATCTGCAGTGAGGTTCTCTGATGGGCATTCTCGAACCGTGCTTGGTGCTCAACTCGTACTCAGTGGAGACGTGCTCCTGAGCAGAGCAAACGCTCATGATTGTTGAGTGGTGTTGGTCTTTCCTTTGCTGAGCTAACCTGCTGCCCTTGAATCGTTCAGGTTTGGGCCACCTTTCCTGCTAAGGGAAGACAGAGCCATTTCCTGGGTCCAGCTGCAAGAGTGCATTCTCAGTAAGGTCCGATGTGTCCTGAAGAGTGAGGCCCCCATCCAGGTCAGTGTGTGTGTGTGCGTGTGTGTAGTGTGTGTGTTGTGGGGGATGGAGAGGGGGTAGGGATCTAGGAGGAGCTCGGGATAGATGGGCATTTGCTGTTAATGAGAGTGTTCACATTGCCGTATAAAACTGCTTTTTGCAAAAAAAAAAAACACCACTGGGATAGCATTTACACCGTTCTTCTCTATTTTCTATATTTATGGCTTATCTGTGGTTCTTCCTGGAGCGTGGTGTATTACAATCAATTGTAACTTACACGTTTGCATCCAAAATTTCAGGGGACTTGAGGCCTAACTTCTGTGGAAAATGAAAATGGGTGTTTATGTCCAAATGCGAACATCTAGATATTAAAAAAAAAAAATTGTCCGGTTTTTTAAAAAACGGAGATTAAAAACTCGAGGCAAAACACCTTTTTGCCTTGCTCCTTTATTTATTCTCAGGTTGGTAGTTAACAGATAAACACAACACACGCTAAAACCATTCCTTTTGGCCCTTAGAGTAGCAGAAACCATTCCGATGGTTCGGAAGATGTTGACATTTTGGGGGACAGGTCAGGAGCCCCAGAATTTTGCTTCCCTACGGGAGAACTTGTCAGAGGTGATTTCTTCATAATTCATGCTCCTTCCTGCTCGGGGAAGACCGTACGTTTGATTCAGGAAGTACATGAAATAACATTTTGTCAAACACCTTCTCTACATTCGTACCAACCTCTATCTCTAAAGGACTTTTTTCCCCCGTGGTGTCCAAATTAGAGCCTCTAACTTCTCTCTAAATAGGTCAGAATATCTTGTAATAATAGCTCTAGCCTTCTGCAGACCTTGTGCTCCTGATCCTTGCAAGTGGATGAAACCACTTTTATGTGAACGTTGAACTCAGCCGTCCCTGCTCTCCACCTGATCACACATGTATGCCTGCCTCTGCACCTCTCTGGTCAATAGGTTTGCAGAAACCCATAAGGCAACCAGTGGGGCCAGCAAAATTCTAATAGAGGCAACCTCCCGCGGGTTAGGGATGCTTTTCTGCGGACTCATTGGGCAATGTGTGGCCTGATTTTTTGTAGGAGGAAGGTGTTATAAATGGTTGTGGGGTTCCTAGGATAGCCCACCCATTTAACCCATAATGCTTTAAGTACCATATAAAATCCTGGCTCGCTATGGTCATGATTTGAACGCATTCACAATTCTCAACCTGGAGCTGAAGAGATGAAAAGTAGTGAAGGCCCTAAAAGGAATTTTCCTAGCTAAGAATGGAAGACAGGAGAATGTCTTCCAAAAATGACCAATTTGCTAGATAGACAGATTGAGTTTGTTTGAATTCTGAAAAACGGAGCTTTATCACTGCCGAGACATTTCTGTGGTCACGTTGTAAACTCGCTTTGTGTGCAGACGGGGTAAGCTGCCTGCATGCGGTATTGGTGCCTTGATTGTGTTGATCATGTTGCTGTCCAAACAGCAAGGCTCAGTTAGGAAAAAAGCCCCTCCCACCCCCCGCCCTCCACCGCCACCTCGCTGCCCCCAGATTTAAGAAACGGTCTCCTTAGGAAGTACACCCTTCCGTGGCCACCCCTGGATCCAAGCTTCTGGAGGCAGCTTGCTTCCCACCACTGCTTTTGTCTTTGTTGAAGCTGTAGGTCAACCGGAGTGTGGTTATGGTCCAATCGGGCATGGACCCTGGACTTCACACTCAAGGCAACTGGGTTCCGATTCACCTTACCAGTGTCCCCTTGCTCCCCGCACATGCAAGCTGTCACAGCCAGAAGAGCGGGTCATGGCTGTTTGAGGATGTGCTGGGTCGTGCCCACACACTGTTGCTCTTTCCTGGAATTCCAGTGCCCTCCCCCTCCTCCCCTGTCTGAATTCAACCTATATAGTTCATCAGTGCTTTGTAAGTAGATGTGTGTCTACCTTTTATCATCGTCAGAGTTTGCAAGGAAATTTCATTGTTTTTCTAATTTAAGCTAACTTCTTCATAATTCATGTTCCTTCCTGCTCGGGGAGGTAATCAGTGACCATTTTAAGAACTGTATTTGCAGGGCGCCTGGGTGGGTTAAGCGTCTTGATTCTTGGTTTCGGCTCAGGGTCGTGAGATCGACCCCCACGTGGGCTCCATGCTCAGCGCGGAGTCTGCTTGAGATTCTTTCTCCCTCTCCCTCTGCGCCAGGCACTCACACGCTTTCTCTCTCTCTCTCAAATGAATAAATAAATCTTAAAAAAAAAGGGACTGTATTTATTTTACTTGGAGACTCTATTGGTTATTTTTAATGGTGGTAAAATATACACAACATTGATTTTAGCCATTCGTTAGTGTACGTTAGTTATAGTCATGATGTTGTAAAACCATCACCATATCCTTACCCCAAATTTTCAGCATCCCTACAAAAACTCTGTGCCCGTTTAACCAAACTCCCCATCCCCCAGCCCTTGGCCTCTGATCACCCCCATCCCACTTTTTGTCCTGATGCATTTGCCTGCTGTAGGTATCTCATGAAGCAGAATCATACGGTGTTTGTCCTTCTGTGTCTGGTGTGGAGTATTTCCAAGGTCCACACATGCTGGGGCACATGTCAGAACTTCCTTCCTTTTTAAGGCTGAATAATACTCCATTGTGTGTGTAGACCCCATTGTGTTTATCCACTCACCTGTTGATGGACACTTGGGTTGTTTCCACATTTTGACTATTGTGAATGACGCCATTTAAGGCTCCCTTCAACTTCAGAAGTGTTAGAATATGAAAAAAAACATACATCTTAGAATGAAAACATAGGTAGTATTTCCTTATGTGGCTTATTTTGTTGTTGTTGTTGTTTGAAGCATATAAATACTTCTGAAGTATTTGGTATGTAAAGTAGACACTAGCTTTCTTTTAGATACTCGCCTCATTTTGGCCATTTGGTGATGATGATAATCATCTTAAAGTCAGGTAAATTATCTATTAATTTAATATGTTAAACGTGTTAGATTGCTATGTTAAAAGGTGTAGCATGTATCTTTTTTTAGAGGGGGGAGGGGCAGAGGGAGGAAGAGAGAATTTCAAGCGGGCTCCATGCCTAGTGCGGAGCCCGATGCCGGGCTCGATCCCATTGACCCTGAGATCACGACCTGAGCCAAAATCAAGAGTCGGACGCTTCACCGACTGAGCCACCCAGGCGCCCCTAAGTGTGCATCTTGTTAAAAAAAAAAAAAAAGATCTTTATATCTGCAGGTTTTGAATACTAATTTTTTTTAAGGGCATACTCAAAATACACCGTCAACAAAAAGGAGGACAGTCTTTGACTAACTTATTTGCCCTTGAGAGTCTCAGTGCAGTCAACACGATGCTGACCCACTGTCTCTGTTTGATGTCTCGTCAGAACCCGGGATCTCTGTTCTCCGTCCGGGTTGTGGGGCTTTCTCTGGCCTGCGGCTACTTATCCCCACAGGACAGCCATCCCCTCTGTCACTGGGCAGTGGACAGGTAAGCGGGCACGTTCCAGATTTGGTAAGAGAAGAGGTGTCACTGTATTTTGACTGGAGTCCTTGGAGGTTCTGTGTCCGTACATTGATTATCAACCTATCTACTCCCGGTTACTCGCCTCCTGGTGTGTTAGATCCTTAGACACATTCTGTGCTTTCAGCCCTTATGTCTAGAGAGGGGCTGTGATGGCCATCTTGAAGATGAGGGGACACTGAAGTTCCCAGAGATGAGTTAACTTGCTCATACTTTTTTTTTTTAATTTATTTAATAGTGAGAGCATGAGCAGAGGGAAGGGGCAGAGGGAGGAGAAGCAGGCTCCCCATTGAGCAGGGATCCTGAAGCGGGGCTCAATCCCAGGACCCTGAGATCATGACCTGAACCAAAGGCAGACCCTTAACCAACAGAGCCACTTGGGCTCCACTAACTTGCTCCTACTTAGGTAGCTGATGGCCCAGTCTGAATCTGAACCCACTTCAGTCTGACCGAGAAACCCAAATTGGTTCAGTGAGCTCATGCTGCCGAATTCAATCTGACCATCCCGTCTGGGGTAGGGGAGAATTCTGCCACAGAGTCTTTGGTTCAAGCTGTAGAACACCGTGTCTGTGATTGAGGGGTAACACCAGTGTGCCCCCCATCCCCCCCGCCCCACGGCTTTCACCTTGCACAGCCCTGCCGAGCAATGCACATGAGCAGCAAAGTATCTGAGAGGTGGTTTTGCTCTGTAAACTGTCTAGTACTTTTGGTCATTTTCCCCACAGACACAAAATTGTCAATAAACATCTCTGATTTTTCTGACTCAGCCAGCCAAAGCCGAGTGAATCCTTAACAGAGGTGTGATAATTCTGATTTATAATAAGAAATATGTCTTTGGTCTTGTGGCACAGAGCTCGTAAGACCCTTGGAATGCTTTTAGTGATACGTGATAAAGGTGCCTTATTCTCCCTAACAAGCCCCTTTCAGCCACACCCGAGTTTACATTAACGAGGTCATTTTTGGAAAGAACCTAAGGATGGGGCCAGGTTGCCAGGGGAACCAACCATGGGATAAAGGTTGGAACTCTCCTTCCCACCCGAAGACCTCAGGGGAGGGAGAGGGGCTGGAGATTGATTAATCAATTCAATCATGCCTGTATAATGAAGCCTCCATAAAAACCCAGAAGGGCAGGTTTGGGGAGCTTCCAGGTGGGTGAACACTCAGAGGTGCTGGGAGGGCCGGTGGTGGGCACAGAGAGGGCATGGAAGCTCTGCAACCTTCTCACACACATCACCCTCTGCCTCTCTTCCATGAGTTACATCCTTTCATAATAAACTGGCGATCTAGCAAGTGAAATGTTTCTCTGAGTTCTGTGAGCTGCTCTAGCAAATTCATCAAACCCAAGGAGGGGGCCCTGGAGCCTCCCGTCTGCAGCCAGGGGGTCAGAAGCCCAGATGACAACCCAGACTTGCGGTTGGTGTCTGAAGTGGGAGGGGGCAGTCCTGTAGGACGGAGCCCTTCACCTGTGGGAATCTGATGCTAGTCTTCTGGTAGATGATGCTGGAATTGAGTTGATTGCTTGGTGGTGTTGACAGAAAGCCCACATTGGAATTGGTGTCAGAATCCGACTAGGTGTCAGGATCATAGTAAGGAAGGACCCCTCTCCTTTTTAAAAACCAGGAACCAGCAGAGTAGGGCATAAGCCCAAAGTTTCTAAGCACCCTTCTTGCTTGGGAGCTGCTTTACAGAGTTAGGGAAGCTGGAGAAACTTTGGCTCATCCTGCTTCGGTCTAACGGGAAAGGGGAGCACAGGGGTTTGGGGAGCTCTGAGAGGGGCCCCCCTCACGGCACTCTGGCTTCAAAGCGAGTTCCACAGACTGATGCCACTGACCTGACCACTCAAAGCGAGTTCCACAGACCTGACCACTCATTGTCCCTGGCCCATGACAGAACTTGAGAGGAAGCACTGAGGTGTGTTAAGACAATAGGACAGAGCAATTGAAAATATGATGAATATATATTATCTACAGTATATAGATACATATTAAATTATCTATAATCTAAAATTATAATAATTTTTAAATTGGACTTTTATTTTGTCCCCCCATTATTTTTATTGTATTTTGCCAAAGGATCCGTCTGTAGTGGTTTAGAAACCGATCAACAAACGGGTCTTTCATCGTAGGTAGTTTGAGAAGCCCTGGAAAGTGGACCACGCTGAAGGAAGGCCTCCCCCAGGCCACGGCCCTTCTGGTCACGCGTCTGCCCGCCCGGCCTTGGTTTACCCCTAGCTCACCCTTAGTTCGGGCACTTGTGTTCGGGACATCGGCCCCGGGCCTGGAGGCGGAGCTGTGGGAAGGAGGCCCCGTGCTTTCTGATGGGCTCCATGTTCTCTCCCCTCAGGGCTCTGCACCTCAGGAGGCCAGGGGGCCCCCCCCACGTCAAACTGGCCGTGGAGTGGGACAGCTGTGCCAAGGAGCGGTGAGTTCAACAGAATGGGGCTCCCGCGGAGGAGACTGGGGCCTGCCTGTACAAATAAATCTTCCCGTGCCCGGGGTCCCCCAACATGCCTAAGGCAGTATGCACACGTCCTTGATCCCATGTGGTCCCTGCATCTGAGAGACCCTAACGACAAGTGTCTGTATGTAAACAGTAGTGACCATGACCATGACCATGCTGCGCGGTGTGAGGAGCGGTGGTGGTAAGAGTAGTAACCACTTAGGTGACGCCGACCCGCTCCCGGCTCTGAGCGCTCCGCACAGATGCGGTGTATTTCCTCTTGGTCCCGCCCCGTGAGGTCGGCACTGCCATAATCCACAGTTTCCAGATGTGGAAACCGAGGCACAGAGAGGTTACACGATTGCTCAGTGTCCCGCAGCTCGTTCGCGTGCCGGAGCCGGGATTCGAAACCAGGCTGTCTGGTTCAACTCCACGCTCTCAGGCGCTCAGCGTGGCTGTGCCTGTCACCCCAAGTGCACGTGGCCCTACTTTGTAAAAAGGACCCCGTTCAGTCCAGCAAGGGTTCACGAGTCCCCTGTGAGGTCCCGGGCCCCGCGCTGGACGAGGAAGCCGAGGCGGATCGGCCGAGCGCGGGGTCCCTCCGGGAGCTGGTGGGCGAGAGCGGGATTCCCGGGAGCCCGAGTGCGGCCGAGGCGCCGGGCAGGGCAGCTTTGCCTCCCCTGGTGGATGCCTTCCCACCCGCGTGCTGTGCGGAGTCCAGGTGGGAGCCCCCTCGGCGGCGAGAAGCCCCGACGCCCGTGGTCCCCTCTCCTCGCAGCCTGTTCGGGAGCCTCCAGGAGGAGCGGGTGCAGGATGCGGACAGCGTGTGGCAGCAGCGGTGGGCCCACCAGCAGCACAGCTGTACCTTGGATGAGTGTTTTCAGTTCTACACCAAGGAGGAGCAGGTGGTGCCCGGAGGGTCCACGCCCCCAGGCTGGGACTGGTGGGTTGGCCACGGTGCGTCGGGCCGGGCCGGCTCACGGTCCCCGTGGCTTCCTTTCCAGCTGGCTCAGGACGATGCATGGAAGTGTCCGCACTGCAAGGCCCTCCAGCAGGGCATGGTGAAGCTGAGCCTGTGGACCCTGCCGGACATCCTCATCATCCACCTCAAGAGGTTCTGTCAAGTGGGCGAGAGAAGGAACAAGCTGTCCACGCTGGTGAAGTTCCCGCTCTCTGGCCTCAACATGGCTCCCCACGTGGCCCAGAGAAGCACCAGCCCCCCGCCTGTGACGGGCCCCTGGCCCCCCTGGAAGCCCCCGGCCTGCCTGCCCGCCGGCTACCCACTGGACTTCCTATACGACCTATACGCCGTCTGCAACCACCACGGCAGTCTGCAAGGTGGGCATTACACAGGTGAGCCTTGCCTCTCGGCTCGTGGTTGCCGTGGTCATGCGTCGTGTCCGTGGCCCGAGCTTCAAGCTGCCCCGGGAATGCCGAGCTCCCTCGGGCCCTGGGCATGTGCACACCCCTCATCATACACCAGGCACCTGCCAGAGAACGGGAGGCGGGGGCAAGTACCCCTTCTGTGTAGACTCTGTGTGCGGTGCCAGAGCTTCTGTGATGAGCAAGACAGACAGGAGTGCTGGCCTCATGGGGACACACACAGTGACAAGATGCTTGTCGCTTTAGCTCGTTCACTGCCTGGCATTATAAAGGGTATTCGACTGACCGTGTCTGTGCTAGAAATAAGGCCTCTCTCTCTGAGGATGGCGCCTGTAGGCCGAGAGCTAAAGGAACTAGCCGGGTGAATAATGGGAGGAGGACCATGATGGGAAGCGCTACCAGCATGTGCAAAGGTCCTGGGGCAGAGTTTGGTGTGTTTAAGAAATGATGAAAGCCTGTCATGGCGGAAGTATAGTGACCCAGGGCTAAGTAACGCGGATGAGGCTGGAGAGGTGAGTACTACATGGAGGCCATGGATGAGAGTTTGCATTTTTTCCAAAGGGTAACGGGAAGCCAGTGAAAGGCTTTAGGCAGAGCGCTGAAGACATAGTCTAGTTCACACATTGAGGGTGTAGCTCTCCTCTACAGAAACCAGGTAGAAGGGAGCAAGGGTGGAAGTTGGAATTCCAGTTCGGGGAAATTTCTGGGGCTCAAGTGAGAGATGGTGTTGGCTGGGACTCCAGAGGGGACAATCAAGGTATTTGAGATGCATAAGTAGAATCAGGAAGACCAGCATTTGGACTGGGGCATGGCCGGGGCGGGGGGGGCGGCGGGGCAGGGAAGAGCAAAGATGAGCCCCTAGGTGCCTGGTCTGGAGTAGCCCAGGGCTCAGCAAACTGTGGCCCGCGGGCCAGATCCAGTCTGGCACCTGTTTCTGTACAGCCCACGACTTAAAAATGGTTTTTACATTTTAAACGGGTGTTAAAAAAAAAAAAAAAAAGAACAAGGAGAATCTATGTCAGAGACCGTCTGTGGCCATACGTGACCTGTAAAGTCTAAGATATTTGCTCTGTGGCTCATTACAGAAAAGTGGGCTGACTCGGGGCTAGTGGGTTATGGCACCATTCACTGAGATGTGGAGGGAAAGGAGAGTATTTTGTCACAATTGCTTAGAAGGTGGCGAGAACCTTATTTATGGTCTTTTCCTTAAACGTTTGGCTTCGGTTCTTAGGCAGGAAAGAAGCACACCATAATCCCAAATGAGTTTGTTTTTATCACACACTGAATCAGAGATGTGCATTTCGAAACTTCTCAAGGAACCATGTGAACGTTGACATTATTATCTGGCTAAGTAACTCAGGGCTCCGTGTTATTGGAGATTTTGCCTGAGTAAGGGCCACCACATAAGGACTCAGCTAAAGTCACAGCACACTTAGCAATAAGCCTCGGGGAGCAAAACGGATTGATCTTTCTGATTCTGCAAAATGCAGTTCTGGCCAGAAATGGACCAATTTTTCTCATTCTGTTACAAATTCGTCCATTTTTCAGCTCTGTTCGTGAGAAATTCCTTTCTGGGGTTTTTTTGGGGGGGAGCGGGGGGCCTCCAGTAATTGACACTTGGGGTTTGGACCTTTGCAGCCTACTGCCGGAACTCTTTGGATGGCCAATGGTACAGTTACGACGACAGCACGGTAGAGCCGCTCCCAGAGGATGAGGTCAATAGCCGAGGGGCTTACATCCTATTTTATCAGAAACGGAACAGCATCCCTCTCTGGTCAGCCAGCAGCTCCCTGAGAGGTAGGTGCTACCTCTCAGTAAGGGGAGGGGAGCTGGAAGGTACTCAATCGAACGACAGGGACCAGGAGAGGAGGCATGTGATCTGGAACGGGGAGCTCTTCCTGCAGCGCGGAGATTTGGGTACGACAGGCGAGTGTCCCGTTCATAGGGTTGGGTGATGGACACGGTGAAACCCAAGAAGGGGAAAGGAATAATACTGTGTAGCAGGTGACTCTTGGCGGTTTGGGGATTTCAGGTTTCCGGTCTCTCATCAAGCCAGACTTAAAATATTTTTAGATTTATTTCTTTATATTTAGAGACAGAGACAGAGAGAGCATGAGTGGGAGGGGCAGGAGAGAATCCCAAGCAGACCCCTGCGCCGAGTGCCGAGCCCGACGCGGGGCCCCAGCTCACGACCCTGAGAGCGTAACCCGAGCCGAAACCAAGAGTCGGATGCTCCACCGACAGAGCCACCCGGGCGCCCCTCGAGCCAGACTTTATTTTTATTTATTTATTTATTTTTAAAGATTTTATTTATTTATATGAGACAGAGAGAATGAGAGACAGAGAGCATGAGAGGGAGGAGGGTCAGAGGGAGAAGCAGACTCCCCGCCGAGCAGGGAGCCCGATG